GTTCAGATGAAGGGGGATGCGGGCGAATCGGAAGCCCGAGGGTAGATATGCGGAATGCAATTGGAGTAAGTCAGCAAAGAAACGGTGTGGTTTCATGTTTACGACACACGGACATACCACGAAGTCTCTAATCACCGATTCTAAAAACCCTGAGATCCTCGACCGGAAGGCCTAAAGCGACTAGCATATCCTATGGTCAAGGTTTTCATCCCTCACCATTAACTTTCTTCTATTAACTGGTCACCTTGGAAAACATGGTACGCTAAGGAATCCGATCGGATGGCATGTCTATACCTTGCTCCAACTCTCCTAGTACTTTTATTCGGCTATGCCTAGCTGGAGCATAAGTCAACTCTATGGATATTCTACACAAAGTTTCGCAGTGACCCCAGCACCGTTCGGTGCACTTTTACTACGCGGTTGACCGGTTCGCAGGAGGCGGTCCAAGGTCACCGGCCTTTGCACATACATACAGGCGCAGTCTGCATGTTTATATCAGACGAGCAAGTGGCCTATTAAGCAGTTCATTCGGCTCTTCCGGAAAACTTTATTGAGTGGACAGGAGCAGTGCAATTATTTGGTAGTGGGCCACAACCGCTACATCACAATGTGGTGTATGAACTCATACCAAGTGCAAGGTGCTGTTTTAGCGAAACCTTATGGCGCCCTTAGGCATTGCGAATAATCGACCGTTCCAGTTTGTTTAGTAACAACAATAATCTTTCTACTTTTTCCTTATTTATTAAGCACAGCTAACCTTCATGAATGAAATTGTGACTATAGAAAGGCGGCTATGAGAAATAAATAAATGGAGGTGGGCGGTGGTAGCGGTATTCGAACTGAAGACTTCCAGGTTGCTATTCTGATGACCTTTATTAGTTAACCATCATTCTACTTGTTTAGTGAGCTTTCCTTCAGCTTCATCACGGTTACTCACCCGATTGGTTTCTAATCCCTATCTGCGAACCACAGAAGTACCTGATGAAATAAAGCTGCTTTTCGAACATTTATTATTCTATCGTATCCCATTTAGATGAAGTAGTACATAGGAGAAATAAAAGGTTAAGACCAGTACCAGATACAATGTACACGTATGAACAACACTGGTAACGACACTCAGTGCTTCCAACCGTTGAATCGAATGATTTCGAGGTCACAACTGGCCTTCTTTTATCTGTCATTTGCATTGGGAAAGACTGTGCACCAAAGGCGATCTGAAGGCATGCGTACCAAACGCAACAGTCAATGTAATCCATGGCAGCCGCTAAACTGAGCCATCGCCAATACCTAAAACTATGCACCTCACTTAGGCACTACTAGTGGAATTGCCCCACTTAACTCGACAAATTTGGTGTGCACAGCGGTGCTCGAACACCGATAGCCTATCTTTATCTCATTCCTATAACTCAACTCACTGCACCACATAGCACCACTAGCCGAATTGCTGCAGCACAAAATAGCCTCATTGTGGGTAATCGGATGTCGCGGTGGCGCTATAGATGTCCCACCAACCGAGCATTCTGTATGCGGGTCGAAATGTCACTTGCGGCTGGTCCGCTGAAGGAAATGTAGCGGTCTAAGTAACATTTTCTACTTGCTCTACTGTCTCCATGTTGGAGTAGAAGTGGGATCCGAACAGGGTGAATCCTGTAAAAGCACTTTATCCTTTGGGCATACCAAACACATACCGAGCTAGGTCAACACTTAACCAATTCAAAAAGCTTGTAATTTAACCAAATACAACATCATGTTTAAAATTACTGAATAAATATGATTATTACATTAGGATTTTATCCAAAAGATCTCAGAATCTCACAGACAAATTTGATGTGTCTCAAAAAGGGAAAAAAGTTATCAGTTCCGTTCGGCTGTTATTACAGTTTTGTCGGACGATAAAAGTCCCAGCGTTAATTTTTTCGCTATCCTAATAATAAAACAGATAATACTTCGGTTTCTCAGTTCCTAAAAATACCCAGGTCATCTGGTACCTGAGGCTTTTCGTGAAGTTCATTAGCCAGAGTCTAAGGGTCACGATTGTCAATTGCATAAACCAAGCACTGAGTTTCTGGCCTTCAGACCTTTTGTTGATTAAGCCACAACAGCGGCAGCAACAACGATTAGTTGCCTCGGTTTTATTTCATTTAGTCCGGATGAACGGACAAACAAACACGAATGCATTTGCAGCCTTGACCACAAATAACCAAACCCAATCGAATTGCGCAGCAGTAAGTACCCCTCTCTCCCTGCTCTCGGAAAGTTAATTGTAGTGGTTTACTGAACGTGCATTCCTAAGTTCGAATTGTTTTCAACGATGGCGTCAATGCGCAAACGCACAGTCAGACCACCGATAACGACAATATGTACAGTGAAACAAAATTCTCTGCCAATCCGAATGAGGCATTCACAAGTGTACAGGCACACATACAAACACGCTGAAAGTGAGGGCATCGAATCGTGTGCTACAGAAAGTTTACGACTGGGCGTTAGTTTGATACGGGATACCATGTGTAGCACATTCAATGCCCTACTGAACCCAATTTTATACGGTGTGTACCCCCCCCCCTCCTGGCCTTCGCGCACAAACAGTTGTGCATTTCGATCGCCAGAGCTCCTCTTTATCTATGCCTAATCACAAGATGGATAAATGCAGGTACACGGAAAAGGAATCTACGATTAAACCAACAAAAATAACACACTAGTAAAACACGAGGAAATTAATTTTAATAGCTTTATCGATCACTCGTTCAAAAATGTGCAGCAATAGAAAACCTATCAGATTATCCCAGTGGCGAGCGATTCCATTCGGGGCTTAACATTGCGCGTTATCTTATACCTGGTACACGTGATAGCCAAGTACAACAATAGACAAAGAGCAGATCTTGCCAACTGTGTTGGAAACGTCGTCAATTAAATGCTAGACTGCAGCAACAGAGTTACCCGGATTTTAGGGTGAAATTCATTATAGATGAAGCAAAGGAAAGGCGAAGTAACAAGTCGGAGAACAGTGCGCAGCTGTATAGACCTACGAGGTTTCGGATTCGAAATTGGGTTAGGTCGACTTTTCAGAGCAGATGATTTCTAATAAGTATGAAATGGTTGTAATTCCAAGTTATGAAGTGATATGTGGGAGACGGGGACATCGTATGATGAATCAAACAGTAACGATGAACACTGGTGAAAACACAAAAGCAAAGTAGGTATTAGTAAAATCAACCCAGAATAAAATTGACTGTCGAAGGTTAAACCATAAACGTTCAGCAAAACGTAATTTCTGGGTGATCCTAATAATTGCGACAACG